AAATTAAAACCATTACTAAACTTTAAATTTTTAATTCTAATGTCACATCACCACAGTTGTTTGGAGCGGAAACATGGAGAACAGCTAAGGCAATTACATGTAAAATTTACATTAATTGATGACTGCGCACAACAGAGGGAATAAAATTGTACGATAGAATCACTTCTGTAGAGCTTTGAGAGAGAACTAGACAAATTCCAGTTGTCCAAGAGGTGAGAAAAAGACGCTGGCATTGGATTGTACACACGGTGAGAAAACAAGACAACCATATAACTGCAATGTTTTTGCAGTGGAACCCACAGCTGCATAGAAACAAAGGAAGGTCAAAAAAAACACACGGAGAAGGGAGCTAAAGAATGCAGTTAAAACGTTAGGGAGGACATGGCGAGAGCTGCGTGCGATAGCGAATGACAGAACGACTTGGCGTGAGTTGATTGAGGGTCTATGCTCTATTGAATAGAAGGGCTGAAGAAAAAAAGGATACTGAGTTTAAGCACTTCACTGATTTAGCATAGACAGACAAGTTACATGAGTGTTTCGCATGGATAGGCAGAAGGATAGAAGGATAATATATGGGTCGTTGCATAGACTGACAGATGGATTGATGAATGCATGGATAGAATGAGGTTTGTGCACCCAGAACGACAGATTGACAGATAGGTGCATGTATAGGCTGAGGTTTGTGCACACAGACCGACAGATGGACTGATGGATGCATGTATAGACTGAGGTTTGTGCACACAACCCGATAGATGGACTGTGGATGCATGGATTGACTGAGGTTTGTGCACCTAGACTGACGGATAGACTGATGGATGCGTGGACAGGAGGAAGTTTGTGCGCACAGACCGACAGATAAACTGATGGATGCATGGATAGACTGAGGTTTGTGCGCACAGACCGACAGATAAACTGATGGATGCATGGATAGACTGAGGTTTGTGCTCACAGACCGACAGATAAACTGATGGATGCATGAATAGACTGAGGTTTGTGCTCACAGACCGACAGATAAACTGATGGATGCATTGATAGACTGAGGTTTGTGCGCATAGACCGACAGATAAACTGATGGATGCATTGATAGACTGAGGTTTGTGCGCACAGACCGACAGATAAACTGATGGATGCATGGATAGACTGAGGTTTGTGCTCACAGACCGACAGATAAACTGATGGATGCATGAATAGACTGAGGTTTGTGCTCACATACCGATAGATAAACTGATGGATGCATGAATAGACTGAGGTTTGTGCACACAGACCGACAGATAAACTGATGGATGCATGTATAGACTGAGGCTTGTGCACACAGACCGACAGATAAACTGATGGATGCATGAATAGACTGATGTTTGTGCTCATAGACTGACAGATAAACTGATGGATGCATGGATAGACTGAGGTTTGTGCAAATGAAAAACATTCAATCGACAGCTTTTAAATTGGACGTGTCCCATCTCTACGTATCGAAGTGGTAAAGGCAATTGCTTTATGCTCTGAATGGCGCATGATTATTTCTAACGAGCGAGTTGGTTGGGTGTGGGTGGGGGGAGGGGGGAGGGGGATAGAGAAGCGTATGCCATGAAATATATATTATTCAAGAAATGTAATGTCCTCGTTTAAACATTATATTACAAACTGTTTACAATAGTGTATAAGTCGTATAAACGCAAAAAATCAAGCACATGTTATTGAACATGACTACACGCTTATTAGGATTAAAAACACCAGCATTATAAGATACAATAGCGTTACAAACACTTTAAAGCAAAAAGACAGAGAACAAACATCGCAAATAGGGGCATTAACATGGAAGGTTCATTCCGGTGGGGGCTCAGAGGCCCCAATTAGGGTGCAATGGGAGAATAGACACACTGCCCCCCACCCCCCCCCCCCCCGCCCCCAAAACCAACCATCTCGTACATGGTGACTAATGAGAGGTGTTATCTTCGAAACTGGATTGTATCTGCTTGAGAGACAAGCAACCAACAGTCTGCATATAAACAATCAGGATCTGTAAAACTACTATGCAGGGAAACCTAAATTCTAGAAATAAATAGTGGACGGCCAGCCTGAAAATTCCGCTAGAGTTTTACAACCAGTGAATGCTAAAAAGAAGTAGAAAATTGAATGATCTATCGTGGATAGATACCTTCTGTAGTTTCCTGCACTGGAAGTCTCATGAAGGAAGCAATTCCTCCACTTCTGTGCATGTCATTCCCCGACAGTGGCTGGTTAAAAGTCTCAATTCTGGTACTTGTAGACAACAGATGTTTTCCATGGACAAGAGCAAAGACTCGGGGCAATCTAGCCCTGGTTCCTAACTGACATTGGGTTAGTTTCCATGAACAAAGTCTTACTCCTAACAAAGACATTGTAAGCAGAATAGTGCTGACTTACACATTTGAGTCTATTTACGCTCTGGCAACACAGTATACTGCATCACGGGTCTCAGTGGCGTATCTACGAATTATGTTTACATAGAGTGTATTTTCAT